GGCAGCACTTCCGCAAACGTAACTGGAGTCGGGAAAACAAAGGCGCTGCCCCAGGGAGCCCTCGCCGGGCGCCCGCTGCAGCCGGGGAGGGGGGGTGGGTGAGGCTTGGGCCCCAATATCCAGGCCCTTCTCGGCCCAGGCCCACTCGCGCCCTTGCCGTAAACATCCTCGAGAGAAAGGAGGCGAAAACCACCAGACAGTCCAGCGATAAGGACGTGGCCACTAGTGTGGCAAGAGGAGGAAATTGACAGCGTCTGCTTCCCCAGGTGAATAAATACGAAAAAAACACCTCTTCCCCTGCCTGCTACTGTCCTAGGAGAAATTCCCCCACCTCGTGGCTTCTTCAACTTGGTCTAACATGTCCTTAGAGCCCTTTTGAGATAGTAATGGGGGTTACTAGTCCACCTATAGGGAACTATTTATTCCCTATACAGCCGCCTGTAAATTTAAGTAGGATGGTGAAAAATTCCTAATGCAACTTTCCCCCTCATTTATCCCACACCCACGTGGACAGACAGGTACATTAATTACCCTTAAGGCCAGCACACGGTGTATTTTGCCTCTCCCACACACATTCACAACCACAAACATTTCCTTTCATCCAAAAGTATTTAATAGACACCTTACAGAGCTACTGGAACTGATAAAACTTTGCCTATTAGTTGTAGGAAAGAACCCAAAATTAGAGAGTTGAGGGTCTAATCCCAACTGCTGTCTAAATAGTTGTATGTCCTCGGGCCTGTCATGTGCCTGAGCCTCAATTTTGTCACACATAAAAGGAGACAGTTGGATTATATAGTGGGCCAGCTTTTCCCCTAATTGTACTAGAAGTTTAGGATTTTGTGGACATCCAACTTGAATCTACATCTTCAATGTAGATGAATGGAAAGGGTGGGTGGACATACAGTGGGCCAACAACATGTGATAAAAGCAGATGTGTATTTGGGAGATCCTTGGTGTTGGCAGAGCATCCCTTTCCCAAGATATGGCCACGAGCCAGCGGAAGGGGTTGTTCGGTGAAAAGAGGATAGGAAGCCTCATCCTGGGGAAGGTCAGCTTTTGACACTTTAAGCTGCTGGCCATCAGCCGACATGGACGATGTTTCAGTTATTTAATGGAAGTCAGGTGGCTTGTATTTGTCATAGGTTGTAAGTAAAATTTAGGATTGCATAGCAAGAGGCTGGGATATTGCTAATGAGCCCGGTGTAAGACACTCTGGGGGAATAGGAAGTGAGAGGATCATATTTCAATAATTCACTAAAACTACTAAGCATGTTTACAGTAATTTATTTCTGTGTCTATACAAATGAGGTAAATATAAAAACATGAAGGCAAACTAAAACAAAGGTAAACAAAAGAGCAAGGTTTACAGGCATGAGGTATTGCATCACCATCTATTATGTATAGTTTCTGGATTATTAAGAGCAAGAAGGCACTTTTTGTGCAGTTACTATGTTCAAGACACCATCGTAAACACTTAGTGTCTAAATCTCTGTAAGATAAGTCTTTCCCCCACTTTTGTGGATGATGAAAAAGGAAGCTCAAAAGGGTAAAGGAACTTGCACAAAACCACACAATCAGTATAAGGTGGAGTTCTTTGCAACCCGTGTCTCTGCTTCCAAGGCCCAGAAAATTTCCCCATGATGTCCTTACCTAGTCAGGACCCATTTAGCCTCACCACCTACACAGGTGCCTTCCTTTGCTTCTTGCCTTTGAAAATTAACTTCATTTCAACGTACATATATGACATAGGTACATTTACCTATGTAAGACAACGTATATATTTAGAGTGCATATATATTAGTGTGTATGTGTTTATCCATATGTCTTCACCATTTTTAAAGTCGAAGGCAAGTGTGAAAATTAATACAACCAAGGATATATTTAGTATTAGGCTGACAGGTTTTTGTTTTGCTTTTGATATTCAGTAAGTCTTGATTTAGCCATCTCATTGTAGGGAAAAGGAGACACGCAATAATATAAATGTGTCTGTTAGCTGCTTTGGTACATTGCCTAGGGGAAAAAATCAAGATATAGGAAGTGGAAAAAGGAAAATGTGGAAGAGATTTATAGTAGGCACATACTAAAACCTGCGTACAGGCATACGTATACCTCATTGTTCCCAAACTCTTGACAGTGGCTACCTGAAGGAAGTGAGATGGGATGAAGAAAAGAGGGTGCTTTTACTTTTTACCTTATAGAGTTATGTTTGGGCTTTAAAAAAAAATGCAAAAAGCATGTGTTATTTTATTATGTAAACTAAAAAGGGAAACAAAAAGAGTAGAATTGAGTGACTTCATACAAATCCAAAATCAGAAAAAAATTGAATGTGCCTAAACTCCGTCATGTTAGAAAAGTGAAATGAAACTCAGGATATCAAAAAGCAAGGTGGTATTCTGGGAATTGCAAGTGGGGGAGCAAAAGGTGAAGAGTCTTAGATGACGATTTTTACCTTTTCTAACAGTATCTGTAGCTTGTTCTACAGCACCCCCATTTTTCCTCTTCAATAAGAAAGCTTTGATGCATGCACCAATTTATGTGCCAGGCCAGGAAGGTAAGAGTTCCCGGTCTTGCTAGTTACTGGTGGCTCTTTGGAAGCATGAGTGTTCTTTACATAGGCGGTAGGAATAGGAGAAATCCATTCACCTGCTGTGTCATTTCATGAAATTATGGCATTTTGGATGTAATTATTTTTAGTAATATAATTTCAGGAGCAGCAAGTTATTGTCAGTTAATCTAGTCTGATGCACATATATATTTATGATCAATAACCCCACAATTCTCAGTTTTATGTAATAGTAACAAAAACCATTGCTTAGAATCCTTAAAAATTAATAAATTTCCCTGCTCAGACATAGAAATCCAGAGTCAAATACATTCAGACCTTTCAGAATCAAGAAAACATGCTTCTTGTGTTTTGTACGTGAAGGAAATCTGAATAAGGTTAGCTTATTCTAAATATGATAGGCAATCCTGAGGAAATGATAATTGTAAAATTATTTTGCAGAAGAGATATTCTTACAATGTTAGGTGTCATACAACATTTCGTTCAGGGTTCTAATTATGTTTTGGGAAGAGGAAAATCTATCTCTTGATTTAGGAAGCTCTGTTTCCCAATAGGTTCTCTTTAAACCCAGAAATCAAGGGCAAAATCCTTCCACAGTACAAAGCCAGTGCAGGTAAAACTCTGTTTCCTCACAGCAAAACTAAAGTGGTGATTCCCAGGACACAGCATTTTGGATTCCTGGGAAAAGCAAACATATATCTGATGTGAATTATGTGTGAGGCAATGAAACCACCTTAATGTCTCCATCAAGAACATTCCATTTAGATATAATTCCACTGTGGTTAATTAACATTAGGATCCTTGTTTACCGTTTTTGTAAAATGGCATTGTCCAACCTAAGTTAGCTGGCTGGGCAGCTTTTGGAAACTATCAGAGTCATTTACTAAGACAGTGATTTATTGGTGCCAAGTCCAAAACAGAAAACCAAACCAAACCAAATATGAAACATGTAAACCTTGAGCCTATATTTTAATATATGTTTGCTATAGATATTGCAACTTTGGTTGCTAATTGTGGCTCTAAATAGCACACAAGCACACACACACACCTCTACCTCAGCACCAACAGAAACTACATCCAAGTGTTGTGTATATTAAAAGTAGCCTCCCTCTGCCTTGGTCCTGGATATTATAAATGTGGCTGAGCCGTGGATGTGCTGATGATTGTGTTGCAGGGATGTTAAGATTTGGAAATGCCAATGAGAGCTCTGTATCACCTTCTGGCCTGGTGTGCTGCTGCGTTTTAGGATGTGGGGGTGGAATAAGAGAGAATGGTGCAGATGGGAGGAAATCTAGGCTCTTAGAAAAACCATATTTCAGACTTACGGAATAGGACTGAGTCAAGGAGGACTGAGACAGCTTTCTTAAACATTTGTTTTGGAGTGCATTTGAGAAGGGGAGACAATTTCAGGGAATATTCTGCAAGTGGAAAACAGGAGAAAGTCCAACTTTGAATGACTGTGAGGAACGTTTTGATCTGAGACCAAGTGACCTGAGACCAAGAGTGGGTCGAGGGGGAGACAGGGACACCGTGAGTCAGCAGTGGCCTGAGGGAGCTTTGGTGTGGCTTTACCGCGGAGGAAAGGAGAACTAGAGAGAGGAACTGTTATTTTCTCAACAAGCCTGATTTGTGGGTTAACTGTGCCAAGGGAACATGAATGAGGGGCCTGGGCTGGTAGTCAGCTCCCTGAGTGGTTATGCAGAGACCTCGTTGCGTAGCTGGGGGTGAGGAAGAACACAGACATGGCTGGCCCAGGACAATGGAGGAGTGGGTCCCTATGAGCTTTGTGGAGAATTCATCTCTCATAACTACTCTGGGAACTTTCAGGGACAAGGTTAAGGTAGAACACACTTGGGCCCAAGGTAAACAAGGCCTCTCTCCAGAGTGAAGCCCGAAGCCCCTACACTAAACACATACAGCAGAACTATACAAAGTGACGTGCACGCTATCCATGACTTTTTAAAAAAATGCACTGATCTGATTCTGCATAGCCAAGCTCCTGTAGCAATTCTGGAATGTCTTCATAATTCTATTTCAAAATAATTTCTGTGGAATTGGTCTCAAATGTACAAATGAAACCCAAACTCACCTTTATGAGGGAGTCTGAATAAAAGACTATCGTTTCAAAAGGGTAAAAATTACACATTTTAACTTTCCTTTCTATATGATGAGATCTCCTGTATTTTTGAAGGTGAAATCTCTTTTAAGAATGTCTCAAAGCCTTTGTAACAGGTTGTTTCAGTTGTTTCTACTGATAAACAGACTTCAATTTAGCAGCTCCCCATAAACTTTCAGGAACCCCAGGATCAAGGGTGTCCCGATTGTCGCTCAGATGACTTGTATTTAAAATAATATAAGTCATGCTTTGGAGATATTGCAGGTTTGGTTCTAGACCAGTGCAATAAAGTATTACAATAAAGCAAGCTTTAATTTTTTTGCTGGTGGAGGGTCTAGCCTTCAATTTGTGAAAAACAATGTTTGTGAAGTGCAATAAAGTGAAGCACAATAAAATGAGGTTATGCCTGGATGTATTCTAAAGGTGATAAATCCTCTGAAGAAAAATCCAGTAAAGTATAAGAAAAAAAATTAAAGTAACTCCTAACATTGCTTCTCAGAGATAACCTATAGTAACATTTTGGTATTATTTTTTTCACATTATTTTTCTAAAATATATTTAGTATGAAGCACATAGATTTACAAATATAAACTTAAATTACCTAGAAGTTTGTGTCCTACTTTTTTTTCACTTAATGTGATCCACAGAGTGTGAGCATTTCCCCATATTCTATTAATTCTTTTTAATTAAGTTTTCTTCAGTTCTATTTTTCTATCCCATGGATATAAGGTTCTGTTTTTCTCTCATATGGCTATAACATAATTTAACTGCTCCTAGGACTGATTCCTTACTTTGTTTTGATTATTATGAACAATACTAAAAGTCTTTGCCTTCTGGAAAGGTTATACTTGTATTCTCAGTTAAATGAGAGTGCCTGTCAATCTTCATCCTCAGCAGCGTTGAATATTTTCATTTTCAAAAGTATTGGTATGGCATTTATAGCAAATATTTTTAATGGACTAGGTAACAAATATTTTTCTGAAAGAAACTGATAGCACATGGGGACTCTCAATTTATCGCTTCTAACAGCCTATGCAACAACAATTTTAGATTATATATACTGGAGTGTGTTTAGGGTATAAATTATTATTTCAAACTATAGTGTATTTAAGGGATATAAGTAAAAATCATTGGTGGTAACTACATGTCATTGAAAAATGTATTTTAAACCCTGAGGTCTATATTTTGATTTAAATTATAAACTCATAAAGGATGTGTCTGAGAAAGAAGCACCTACCAATTTCTGTTAAAAATGGCTTGACTTCATGGATACTTGGTACTATCTTTAACCCTCTTAACATCCTCAGTGCCTAAGTGTCAGAATAGTCAAGTAGTAACACCAGCCTTTTATCGAATAAGCATTATCAAGCATTTATAAATATATTGGGTTATTGGAAAAATCATGATGTATTTTTTCTGTGTTTTTTGTTGCAAAAATGCATCATGACTTTTCTGACAACCCAAATATATTATTTTACATATATAATAATGTATTAGTGCTATAGCCTAATGTTATATTACTAATACCTGGAGTTGTGTTATTTCTCATTATAATTCTTATTGTCCACAGTATGCTCTTCCTGTGTGCCTAGTACTTTTAGATCTTGGACCCCTAGTCCTATACTAATTTACCTGAGTCAGTACTATTCTGAAAACACTTGAAAAAAATTGTGGGTATTTGTGTGTATAAAACAGGGATTGGGCCGGCCGAGTGGCTCAGTTGGTTAAGAGCTTGCTCAAGAGTTTGAGCTCTGAGCAATAGCAGTTTGAGTCCCTGCCCAAGCTGAGCAGCCGCTGAGCTGCCAACGGGTAGCAGGATGGCTCAGCTAAAAAAAAACAAACAAACAAAAAACAAAACAAAACAAAACAGGGATTCACATAACTAGGGTTAAAATAAACCAAAAAAGTTTTAATAGAATTGGAATGTCTTTTCTTTTTACTTATATGTATTATACTAGATTATATATTATACTCATAATGTATTATTCATTATACTAATATATAATATATATTATTCAATATAAATCGCTTCTAAAGTATAGCAAGCAATAATTTATTGAGGGAAATCTTTCTGTAAAAAACTTAAGCAAATAACTCTGCTTTCAGTATCAACCTTTTAAAAATGCTTTGTTTTATGCTTTGAAGATATGAAGTCTTACATTCTCCATGTTAGCTTCCTGACAAACAAATAAGATTGCGTTTATATTCATTAAGCTAGTAAATAATGTGATAATAGAGACAGTTTTTGAATGGTAAGTGTTGACTTACTGTGACAGGCTGCTTTCACCGCAGCCTGTGCTGGTGCTGACCAGGTGGCATCCTCCCCTTTCTCTCCTCTGCTCACCCTGTACCTATTCTGTTACCTACAAGGGGTTTGAAGATAACCATTTCAGTGTTGATAGTTGATAGATTTCCCAGGCTCCCTCATGAAAACAGTTGCTCTTGTAGAATCCCCCATCTGAGAAAGTGCATAAAGATAGAAAGTTAATAAGAACTGCATTAACATTTATTAGAGAAATAAACGTATGGTGGTAGCATCAGTATACAATAAAACCTTGGATTGGAGTAACGTGGTTTGCGAGTGTTTCACAAGATAAGCGAACATTTCCAATACATTTTAATGTGGTCAACGAATGATGTCTTGCAATACAAAGAGTTTGTTTCTGGAATGAATTATGCTCGCAAACCAAGGTATGACTGTATATTTGAAAATGAGTGGAATGTGATGTGTGACACTACATTCAGTGCTCTCAGACCACTGGCAGTAACTCCAGGGCTGCCACAGGTTGCAACCTCTGCCCTGGAGGAAGCAAGCGCTGGTGATTCTGTGCTCCCTCTCCTGGTGCATGGCTTGAGGAGAGTGAGGAGGGAAGCTTTGGGTGGGCCTGTATTGGAAGGTGTGTTACTGGCACCCCAGACTAAAAAGTAGAACGAGTTTCCTTTTAAGAGTTACACATTCTGTAACCCTTAGGTTCTGTCAGCACTCTTGGTTCAGTAATCTGAGCACTACCACTATTTCTAACATTTTTTTTTATGGGAACATGTTTTTTAAGCTTCAGCAATTGAAACACAATGAATATTGGACACTCAGCCTGCTCATTAGTTTGGTTGTCCTAAACAATTTAATTGTTCTGTCTGGCTGTTGCTCTTTGTTTAGAGAGAAAAGACTTTGCATTGGTCTACTTTTACAAAGCTCCGGTGACCCCCTTAAATTCCTATATTGTTTTCCTTCTTGACAAATAAATGCAGAGTATTAGCATCAGTGTATTCAATTAATTTCATTTCCTATTTTGAACATCTGTTACCCAACAGATGTTTTTTTGTTGGAGAAACTCACAAGATGTAGTTATCTTTTTTAAATCATATTTTTTTCATGCTGTAATATATGAACTGTTTGTTACTTGTTCCTCATGCTAAGCTTATTTAACACAGGAAATTGATCTGAGAAGTGGAAGGAAATGAGGGTCAGGGGCCTGCTTCAAATTTATACTATCAGCTGTTGGCACAATATTTAATCAAAAGCCCAAAACAAATAAATAGAAATTTGTTTCCATGATGGTTGATAATCTCTAAGGACCTAAATTACAAAATTTTTTATTGATATTTAATTGTCTTCCACAAAGTGAAAGTGAAAATCCGCTTGGCTTTATTTACTAAAACCACATTTAGGATTAAAGGTTGTTCCCCATTCTTCCTTTAAGAGATGAAAATAATTTGCTCTTTTTACCCTGTTAGCAGGTTGAAGAGAAACATGTTAGAGAGGATTTTAGTGCCTTTCATTCACACTTATGTTACAAGTAATATTAAAATGTTCCTACAGGGGACTATATTTTAAATGAATAGTTATTTCTTGCCTAGAGATAATTACCATTCCAGTCCAAAATCCAACAATATGTTCTCTAGTAAACCTGCATTAGGCTGTGAATATAGAGATGGATATGAATATAAATTCATGCACATTATGGACAAAATGCTAGACTTGTTCGGGGTGCCAGAGAATTCTGGAACACTCACTTGGGAAGGGTGCTTTTGCAATTATTGCAAAATAATGTCCAGGGCTTTAAAGAAATATTATAAGGCCTCATTCACCACCACCAAATGTTCATATATTAGCAAGCTTCTGAGTTAGCAAAATACTTTTTTATACATTATTTCTTTTAAGCCCTAGAACCCCTGTGAGTTAGTCGACTTGGATTTGTGTTTTTATCCCAATTTTACAAAAAAAAGGGGCTCAAAGAGGCACTGATTTGTCAAAGCCAGGAGAACAAGTAGAACTTCTCTCGGTGCCTCTTAAAATTAATCTCTGGTCACATTAAACTTTAGTAAAACTTTATATGTATATTGTCATCAATTGCTTGTCAAAAATAACCAATATTTATTGAGAGCTTATAAGAGTAAAAGGCAATATCCTAAGTACTATATTCCTTGCTGAAGGAATTTATAATCTAGTTGACAAGACAGGAAGTAGCTATAAAAAGAGCAATAAAATTACCCATAAATCCTATAACAGGTCAGGTGTGAGAGCAATCTCCAGTAGTAGAGGAAGGAATCAGAAAAATATTGCAAGCTTATTCTACTTCCAGATTTTATAAAAGATCACATTAGCTGCAATTCATAAAGTATTGTCTAAAAATTTTATAACAGCATATTAGTATTTACAGTTAGTGTTAAGACTGGCACCCTAAAATAAAAGTTCCAATGTTAGGAAATCCTTAGGAGGGGTTGCAGTAGCAACCTTGCCAGTGTATTTTCCACACTGAAGCTACAATGATCTTTGTAAAATCCAAATGTGGACATTCTACTTTCTTGTTTCATTCTCTCCAGTGGCTCCCCATTGGGCTCAAATAATACCTACAAGTTCAAATTATGTATCAGGCACTGTACTAAGAGATCAACATGCATTATGCTTTTTCATCCTCAAAGGTACCCCAACCGAAAATACTATGTTCCTCATTTTGTAGACACTAAGACTAGAGAAGTTAGCAGCTTTCCCAGGCCGCAGAGCTGGTCAGTGACAGAGCTGGGATTCCGGTCTCTGCCTGTCTGTCATCCCTTACTCAGTAGCTCCTTAGTCGTGTGTAGAAGGCCCTGGATCAGGCCCTCACCTGCTCTGCCTCCTGTGGGGGACTCTTAATCATTCTTTAAGGCTCTCTGAAGGCCCCACCCCAGAGACTCCTGCTGGCAGTCACCTGGGTTTGCTCCTGTTTTAACATTTAGCACAGTGTGTTGTGG